CTTCCCTCAAGAGGTTGGTTTCCGTGTTTCAACAGGTGAAAAAAAAGAGTTTTTCACATTCATATCCCTCACAAATTCTTGCAACTTATTGATAATTTACCTCATCAGGCGACGAATATTGCAGTTAGTTATTAAGTTATGAATGTAAAACAAATGGGGTTGACTTTTAGCGTTTGTCGTCGAATCAAAAACAGCCCACCCGTTGTCTGGGATAACTGCAAGCCTAAAGATGCTTTAGAGACAAAATATGCGTATTTAAAGGTGATAATTAAACCAGTACATTGTAACCAAGGTTCTCAAAGAGCCTTGTGCAATATTAATCAACCGGACTTTTAACTTCTCGTCCAGACAAGATTTCTTGAAATGAATGGTCGTTTTCTTTTCGCAACCAGGGTTTAAAGCGCAGTCTTGTAAATTTTGCAAAGACCTTATATATCTAATGGGCTAGGAATCGAGCTTCTGTTTAAAATTTAAAGTTAATGAGAAAATATAAATAACGAATAGAAGGCTACTTTTAAGTATGCAAAACAAAACAACGCAGGGGTTACCAACATATTGTATGATTTCATGATCGATAAATTATTGAGGAGATCGTTTTAGGGATTTTCACAACGGAAAGTAGATATTTCAGGTAAATCAAATTGGGGTGTGTTAACGAGAAATAATGCGAAGTCGCGATGTTCCCGAAACAGCTGAGAATATTTTCATCTATCAGTTCTATGGTAAGTAGTAATTAATTAAAACACTACGATGATTTCAATCTTGAAAGAGATAGATCTTTATCGAAATTTTTTTTTTTTTTAAGGATAGAAACAAAATCCCTTATCTTAAAGCAGGTGTGATCAATATATTTCAACTTATTAACTCATACAAGTATAATGTAAGTTGGCTTGAACTATGTCTTCTAATTTTTTTGTATATTTTTTATTAGTACCCAACATTTCTTTAATAATTTTAAGAGAAGAATATAAGAATATGATACTATCGATCGTAAATTCTGATCGCCCTGATGGGAGTTGTCTTAAAATGACTACTGTCCGTGACAGAGACAACTTTTCCACAAACTGGGAAGAAGTCACCATCGGAGTCGAGAAAGGTGTTCTTTTTTGTCAGTTTTTCTGTATTTAGCATTTTGTGTAAGACTTTAGTAGTAGCGTACGCCCAAAACCCGTCGTTAATTCTGGATTTCTCTTGAAGGCGTCTTTTATAATTTATTTAATCCGCTTTCAAAGTCAGTCGTTGCAAGTACTTTGTGCTATCGGTAATAAATTCTCCATAAATCCATTCAATACTAGGTGCGATCCCTATACCTGTAAGTAAGACTGAAAAATAATTCTTCACTTGACTTTATTGATGAGTTCAGTTCAGGTGGCCCAAACGTCACATCTTGTCTCTAACAACAGACGCTGTCATAACTACCCTCACTAGAATGATCAGACTACATGATACGATCATGTAGTCTAATATTTGGCAAATATTTCTTCTGGTCGCAAACCACCGACTCTAAAAGAAAACGCTATCGCTTGATTGTAAATTCTCGTAGGTTATTACATTTCAACCCATTTGGATTATTTGTGACAGATTTTCCTGTATTTGATGACGATTTTCTTACTTCATCATGGGCGACTTAGTAGCTCCGATATACGCGATAAGTTGTCAGGTAAGGAAGAGTTTTTCCGTTATTCATACAAAACCAAAACCAACACAATTTCATCTACCTGTGACAGAAAAAAGCGAAATATCCTATGGATCTCTTAAAAAAACCAACGATAAAGCAAGCCACCTGGTTGTAGTTAGAATAATTGTGTTCTCCAGGGTCCAGTTGTTCGAAGGCCGATTAGCACTAATCCAGGGTTAAATTTTGATTCAGGTTTCCTTATTTCACTATTCAAGAACCTTTATGAGATAATTCCCCCTGTTCTTTTTAGCGCATCCGATCATCAAATTGTAGACACAAAATAATTAAACTGAACTTTCTCCTAAAGCTTTTAGATCTGAAATCAAATTTCACGCTAACCCTGGGTTAACTTAACCCAGCTTTGAACAACCCAGCCCAGGGTGCGATTTGATCAAGCATTGACTGGAAGCCAGGGTGAGTTTAATTTTTCTGCTCCAATCACAACACGAATGCTTTACGTTGTGATGCTGATGTCCTCTCCTTTTTTCATCATCTAGGGTGGAAAGATTTATACACCCTGCGTTAAAAATTTAATTAGGAATGTTTTATGGTGTATTCGTTGGAGAGGTCTTTTGCCTAAGTATCTGTTTCATCTAGATATTTTAAACGAAAACAAGCGAGTTGTCCCTCCAATGCAAAAATAGCCTCAGGTATAGCGGCGCACTGACCTTTGGAACAGGCCACTCTGTTACCTTGGTAAAGTTAATCAAATGCTCCATCTTCTCTTTGTGAACTAAGGATACAGCATTTATGTGAAACACGCTCGATTAGCACTGCTTATTTTGCAGAACTGTTTTTTGTTGAAATACTAAGATTAGTCCAGCGGTTTTGTAATGAAAGATGGTTGTCTGTATTTATCGCAGAATGCAACAATTATAACACCATCAACGAGCCCAACCGCTCTGTCTTCTTCAATTCGAACAGTAGTGAGACAGTCTGTGACAAAGGACATTTTACTTCTGGTCGGTGGATTCGATTTATAGGGAGAGGAGGAACTGCCATTCCTAATAACCCACCACAGGCACACCACTGTGGAACAAGTAATCCAGGCTGGATCAATGGGGCCCATCCTAGTGTTAGCGAGGGGGTTGTCGATCGAGTGCTTTGCTTTCGTCATGAGAATGACATTTGTAAGTTTGACGAAATGTACGAAATTTCAATTCGAAACTGTGGCCATTATTACGTCTACAAACCAGTAGTGAACATCACAGATTGTTCTCTTAGAGTTTGCACCGGTACGTATGCTTGTTCATAAATGGTTTCATTTTAAGCTTTATGATGGCATTGTAATGAATTTATTTCATAGTTTACAAGCATGTTTACATTCTTGAGAAATACGTTAAATAGGAAAAAGAGATGGAAAACAAAGATGGAAAACTATGCTTCTTCATACAGTGAATCCTGTTTTAAGCGGTAACCCAAGGGAAATAGGGGTTTGACTACTGAAAGGGATGAACATAAAAAAAAA